CAAAGATCAGATTCTTGAGCTACATTAAGGCTGCTACTTTAAATGACAGCACTATTTATGGACTGTTTATCGAAGACAGATCACCCTTGGAGGCCGCCACAACCTTTACTCATAAATCAGACATCCAGTGCCTCTTGGAGGCTAAATACTCCCTGTTGAAGACATGAAGGGGTGTAACATATACTCAATTTGCTGCCACTCTAGGATTTAGAATGTGCTTACTACCTTAACGCAGAACTCAAGGTCCAGACAAGGAAATTTGGTATTTTTTTCTTCCTTTTTCTTTCTCTGCCAGCCACACACACCAGCTGGTGTTCCCAGGACACTGGTAACTGTATGTAGGCTGAGCTTTAGCTTGGAAGAAATAAATAATCTATAGAAGAAAATACACCAGAATATTTTCTAATAAAAATCAAGGAATGACCATTGCATCATTCCAAGTGCCAAAAGAATACACGAATTGAAAATTTTCCTCTGAATCTCAATGTTTTCTAACAGAGATTATTCGTAGAATGCAGAACAGTGTGGTAGGTCTAACTTAGTTGTTTTCAACAGGGGCCATTTTGGCAACGTCTTGGGACTTATTTGTAGTAATTTGTTTAAATCCTCTATGTCTCAATTTCTTTACCTTTAAAGAAAATAGAAAACATAGTTATGCCATAAGGTTGTTGCAAATAATAAATGAGTCGGCCAGGAACAGTGGCTAATGCCTGTAATCCCAGCACTTTGGGAGGCCGAGGCAGGTGGATCACTTGAGGTCAGGAGTCTGAGACCAGCCTGGCCAACATGGTGAAACCCCGTCTCTACTAAAAATACAAAAAATTAATTGGACGTGATGGTGCATGCCTGTAATCCCAGCTACCCCGGATGCTGAGGCCGGAAAATTGCTTGAACCCAGGAGACAGACATTGTAGTAGGCCAAGATTGCACCACTGCACTCCAGCCTGGGTGACAGACTGAGACTGTATCTCAAAAATAGACAAATAAAAATGATAACAATAATAAATGAGTTAATACTTGTAAAAAAAAACACCTGAAACAGTGTCCATTGTTTATAAGCACTTATATGTGCTAGCTCTTATGGTAGGCATACAAATTGAATAAAGAGACTCTCAGGGTGGTGAATGAATTCCCTTTGTAACATAATTTGAGTTCATTCTACTTGTAATCTAATACAAATCTTATTAAGCCATATTAAGCCACAATGCATCTAAATGGACAATTGGCTGACCTTGAAACTGAGAGAATGGACTAAGAAATTATATTGATGATGATTGCATGACGGTTCATGAAGAGACCAGGATGGAGCCAGGATAAGTGATGAGAATGGGCATTTGGGCATCAATCTTCAAGTTGATCTCACAAGGTAAGAGGCATCTGCATCTCACCTGGGGAGGCTGGGCTCGTGCTACCCTTCGTGGAAGATCGATTTCCACAGAGGCTGGTTTCCTGAAAAGCACTGACTCCAGAACAGCACAGGGGTCTGGGGGCTTTTCTGTCTTGTGAAGTAAAAGTTACAAAACATAATTTATCTTCGTTTAAGTAGAAAATTGAAGCGAGTGAAACTTGACTCAAATGTACTAACAACCCACAGAGACCAGTGATGTGTGCTGCAGTCCAGGTAGGAGCCAACTTCCAGAAATAACTGAGTGCCAAGCTGCCTATTGGGGCAGAGGTCACAGGGGATGTGGGTTGAAGGGTAAAAGTCTCCGTTAGGATGAATAGACTCTGGAGCTCTGTTAGACATCATGGTGACTATAGTTAACCAACGTGGACTGTGTAGGTAAAATTTGCTAAGACAGTAGATCTTAAATGCTAACAAAGGCCTCCCCAATGGTAACTAGGCTAGGAGATGGACATGTTAATTGGCTTGTGTTAATCATTTCACAATGTATACCTCTAGCAAAACATCCTGCTGTATACCATAAATATATACAGTTATTATTTTTCAACTTTACCTCAATAAAGCTGAGGGGGAAAAAATTGTCCAGCCTGGACAACATAGTGAGACCTCATCTCTGCTAAAAATAAAAAATAAAACAGCGGCTAGGCAAGGTGGTGCCCACCTGCAGTTCCAGCTACTTAGAGGGTGGGGTGGGAGGATCGCTTGAGCCCAGGAGATCAGGGCTTCAGTGAGCTGTGACTGTGCCACTGCACTCCAGTCTGGGCAACGGAGTGAGGCCTCATCTCAAATAAGTAAGTAAATAAAATAAATAAATAAATCATCTAGTAAATGAGTTCTGAAGCTAGATCATCTGAGTTGGAGTCTCGGCTCCATCACCTACCAGCCGTGTGACCTTGAACAAGTAAGTAACTGGACTTCTTTAAGCATTTGCTTTAAGCATTTGTTTTCTTGTGTGTAAAATTGGTATTATGAGAGTACATAGTTTTAGGGTTTCCATAAAGATTAAATAAGTTACTTCAAGTATTATGCCTAGAAGAGCATCTGCAGATCTAAAGATACTACTAATATTGCAAAGTAGATGACTTTAATTTGACATGTCTGCCTCTCGGTGTCTCCATCGTTAAAATGAGGCTAACACTGTATGGCTTCACAGGAGTCATTCAGGCAACAAATGGTCCTGTGATGCACACTGTGCCCGGCCCCGCTGGAGAGACTGTGAAAGCACTGCTCCCTCTAGTCACACTCCAGGGAACTCACACGGGGGCCGGGCAGGGGGACCTGAGAGATAGAGAATCGGCAAATATCGCTTCTCGGCCTTTCGGCTAAGATCAAGTGATAATCAGCAAGTAAACGCACACGAGAGAGAGCTGGGGAACTCTGGGCACAACTTTAAAGCTTCCTGGTTCATATTCTAGAAGGAAGGAAGGTTGGATGAGGCCACAGTCCATCGGTTGGAAATAATGGACTATGTTTTATTTCTCAGTGGACTGAGGAGGAGAGCAATATTTAAGTGTGTGTGTGTGTTTGTGTGTGTGTGTCAGAGAAAGGGAGGGAAGGAGAAAGACAGAATAACATATTTCTGCTGCTTTAGGAAGATCAGACAGTCTCCATCTGCTTTATAACCGCAACTGCTTCCCAAGGTCATGTGTAGGCTACGCAAATCAAAGGAGTCTTGGGAAATTCTCAGCAGTGTGTGTGTGTGCGTGTGTGTGTGTGTGTGTGTGTGTGTTTCTACGCAGACCTATTGAAAGCCACATTTTGCAATTACCCTTTTGTTGCCAAAGGACTCAGGAGGGTATCTGGATGCCAGTGGGACCCTAGCCCCAGCAGTGTCCAGGTTCTTGACACCATGGAGAGAAGAATTCGATGACAAATCAGAATAAAGCAAACGGCAAGAAGCTTTTACTGTAAAGCAAAAGTACACATGTAAGAGAGAAGTGCAGGCGTGCTCGGGAGAGTGAGAAGCACACAGCAGAATTTGTATGTTTAATTTTATAGGCTCTTCTAATTAGGCAGTGGAATAATCATGATATTTTCTAGGAAAAAAAAAAGTAGGGAATTCTTAGAATTGGAGTGCCACCCATTTTTATACTAAATATATCATGGTGCTCGTGGGTCTGTGATTTTGGATGGTAACGAGTGTACAATTAGGTCTGGGGTAGGGCATAAGTCAAGTCCATCACCATGTCAGATCCAGCTGGTCTCAACCAGCTTGGCCCCCCACCTTGTTTGTTGGGGTCTTATCAGCCCAGGCTTGTCTTTGTCCTTGTCACTAATTCTAACAGCTCCTTTCCTGCAGTTATGTGAAATTGCTGCTTCATCTTTTCCCGGTTCTCCTGTGACCACCCAGCATTCCGATTTAATTGGTGTTTCTTTAATTAGGGGGTTGAACAATCATTAGGTGTTCCAGAAAAAGAGAATGATATGGTTTGGCTGTGTCCCCACCCAAATCGCACCTTGAATGGTAATAATCCCCATATGTCAAGGGCGGGGTCAGGTGGACATAATTGAATCATGGAGGTGGTTTAAATGGTAGTGAATAAGTCTCATGAGATCTGATGGTTTTATAAAGGGGAGTCCCCTGTACACGCTCTCTTGCCTGCCACCATGTAAGACATGGCTTTGCTCCTCCTTGCCTTTCGCCATGATTGTGAGGCCTCCCCAGCCATGTGGAACTGTGAGTCCATTAAACATCTTTCCTTTATAAATTTCCCAGCTTCAGGAATGTCTTTATTAGCAGTATGAGATCAGACTAATACAGAGGGGATTTCAGGGACTCCCCAAGAATGCCCCCTTTCTCCCTTAATTGGGTTCGCCCGGAAGAGTCGTGGGCCTGTCACCCTGACTGGGTTTTGGCTGGTTTTGTTCCGTATTTTGGGTTTTCAGTTGTCCTGGGTTTCTTTGTGTAGTTCTTGTTTCAGCTGTTGTTTCGATTTTTCCACCCTGTGACTCCCCAATGCTATTCCTATCCTACTCTGGCCTGGCTGAGATGTTACCACAGCTGCCTTCTCCCTACTGCAGGCATATGGAACTAACTTAGAAAACCAGTGAGCTGGCTTCAAGCTCATCCTGGGAGGAGAACTCTCCAATACGCTGTATCAGGGGCATACTCCCAGGATGAGTGGGTTGTCCAAGTCCACCCCTCCTCTCTCAGCCCTGTTGAGCCCAATTTTGGAGACAAAAATTGATTCTTCATTGCTAGCATCTATCTCTTTCATTGTCATTTAATCACAGGAGTTTTTCTTTATTCTATTTTCTTTTGAAATGCCTTCCTGGCTCAGGACACCCTGCGGTGCTCCACTGAAGGAGACTGCTGTGACACTGTGGGCAAGCAGGCTTCCTTTCTGAGGTTGCACGGAGCCAGCCCTAGGTGTGTGTGGGGGACTGGGCCTTGCCTCCAGGGTCTGCAGACACAGAGGGTGCTGCCCTGGGGACTGGGGAGGGGACGAAGCTGGTGTCTGAATGCTGTTCATTCACTGGAGGCAGGGTCAGGAGAGGGGTCAGACTCCGACTCACACCCCCTGCAGATCAAGCCAGAACAGAAATCACCTGGTTGGGCCGTGGCAGAGGCAACTTCCATGAAAGTACAGCACACGGGGTGCAAATCAGCGGGAAAGGCTGGGGGAAGACGGAAAGTTTGGATTTCTCCTGCCCCATGGTGCAAAGCCCAAACCAAACCAACTAAAAACCTGCTGTTGCAGGGACAATGCTGTGGGAAAAAGGAGGAACTTTCACCTAAATAGTTAGCACAGGCTGTGTTAAAGACTCAATGAGTCAATAAGGGTGAACAGTGAGCGATTACCCTTTCTCTGGTGTGTTTCCGCATGTTTGAGTGTTTTCCCCTACACATTTATACATGCAGGTACACGTCCATTTATACAAACACGTGTACATCCCTTGTTCACACGGTCGTGCACGCTGCTCTTTTTCCTCAGTGTGTCTGGAAGATGGTTCCGAACCAACTGGATGGGATTTTTAATTTCCGAAGGCACGAGCTCTCCTGGCATCCGCAGATGTGACCCGCAATTTCGAGAGGAAGAGGAGCGCAGACCTCCTGCCTGGAGTGACGGTCAGGAGGGAGGTGGGGGAGGGCTGGGCCCCTCTTGGTGTCCCGGGTTCCCAGCAGAAGTCTCCAGGACTGCGGGAGTCTGCAGACTCGGAGTTTCCGCGCCGGAGGAGCGGGTCCACGCGGACAGGCAGTTCCAGCCCCGGGTGAGAGCGGCCCCGTCTCCTCCCCGTCCCCGGCGCCGCCAGCAGCAGCCCTGGAGCGATTTCCCCTCCCCGCCACCCGCGCTCTCTCTCCTCCTGCGCCCAGGCCGGTCTCCGGCTCCGGATCCGGGCGGCGACGGTGTAGATGGGCGCGCACAGGGGACGGTCCTGGAGCCCAGGAAGGGTGCGAGCTGGAGGCGGCGGTTCAGAAAAGTTGTCAGGTCTCCAGCGCGGGCAGCGGCGGGAGCTGGAGCCGCGGTCAAGAGGACCCCAGGGGACGCGGCCCGCCTGGCACACACGGCCACGGGTGCGAGGGACTCGACGAGCTGGGAGGACGCGGTCACCGCTGGTGCGGCGCACTGGGCCCGGTGATTGGCGCCTTCCCCGGCACAGGTGAGGCTGGGCAGAGAGGGCATCCGTGGCGTGGCCTCTCTGGGTGCGGGATGAGGGGACGCACTGAACGTGGAGTTAATGTTGGGGATCGGGCGGGGGCGCTGGATAGGTAGATACTGTGGGGCTCCGCGGACCCTATTGCCTACCTGGACCTCCCGAGGATCACTTGCAGGTCCGGCGCCAGGGGGGATGTGGCGGACGGGTCGTGTCCCTTGCTTTCCCCCTCCCCAGGACTTGGCGGGACTATGAGGATGGAGAGCCCGGGTCTTTGCACTCCTTTTTCTCCAACCATGGAGCTCCATGCCTCCCTCACTCCAGTTCAGTTAAACTCAGACGAGCAGGGTCCCAGGGACGAGCCAGTCTCCGTCCACCTGTTTCCCTTCCATCCTGTGGTCCTGAGAGCCAGGCTGTGCCCACCGGGGAGCAGGCGTTCACAGCGAAGCTCGCAGGGGGTCCCAGAAATGAGGGATCATCTCGACAGACACCCGAGATCCGGTCCGATGTGGTTTGAGGATTGCTAGGAGGGGCTGGGGGTCTCTGCTGCATGGGTACAGGAATGTAGAACAGAACTGGGCTTTCCAGAAGGCCTTTCACCCCACTCCCCCATCTCTGCAGCACGAATTACTTCATCTCAGAGGGAATTTAGTGGGTACGTTAGGCACATAGCACAGCGCCTGAAGCGCACGAAAAGCTTAGCAGCTGCTAACCACTGCCATTATTATCATGCACACGTTGGGCCCAGGTAGAATCAAGCCGACCCACATGAGTAGCGGAGGGAGAGGCTTCCAGGTCCGGGAGAGACACCTACGCGCCTTTCCGCGCCGGTTACTGGCACGCGTGGTTGCGTGGATGGCGAGCAAAGTCTCACCTCAGGCTGGGAAGGTGGCTGCGCCTCTGTCCAGGGTTCCCGGGCTCCTGAGAGCAGGAGCGCTAGGAGAATGTCATTTGCCTGCTTCCCGCGCGCCCGAGCTGTGTCCACAGGGCTGGGCTCTGAGTGCAGCAGCGAGACCACCTGTTGGTTAAACTTTCCGTGCGGTGTGGGGTCTTCTTAGGTCTCCGCTCTCAATGCGGAGAGCTCTACCTTAGCCCGCTTACAGACAGATCTTCTAAGCACTTTTTCTCCAGCTGCCTCCTGCCTAAAGCTCTTTCAGCTCAGCTGGAAAATCAATAGGAAGGACATACTGCCAATTTCAGTGAGGAAAAAAAAAAAATGTGTTTGCTTTTCAAAAGTCATGTGCAGCTTGAAATTCTGGGATAGCCACTCTCCTTGAGCCTGCAGGTTTCCTCAGGAGCCAGACAACTTTTAAAATATGTTTTTTAAATACTGCCATTTTCTTTCAAGGCTTCCAGTTAGGCAGAGATGAGGGTGGGGTAGCAGATATCTTCCCTTTTTTCCTTTTATTTAAATTGCAAAACAGATCTCCAGTATCAGGGTGCAGAATAAAACTAGGTGAGGAGACAGAGTGAGAGGGCACAGGATAAAACTAGGTGAGGAGACAGACCACTATTGGCGGTGGAGTGGGCAGAGAAATTTCCCCAAGGAGGTTTACTTGGGAGCAAATATTTGAGTGAAGTGAGGGAAGAGGCCAGAGAATATCTGGGGAGGAGCTGTCCAGGCAAGGGAACAGCTAGTGCAAAAGCCCAGAGGCTGGAATTAGCTGGGAGCGTGGAAGGAAGAACAAGGGCGAGACGGCCATGTGGCTGGGGCAGAGTGAGGGTGGGAAAGGGGTCCTGAAGGGAGGTGGGCAGAGTCCTGAAGCTCATCATGTGGTCCAGGCAAGCCACGTGTGTCTCAGATTAGAGCTGGGTCCGGTATCCGCTCTCCTTTCTCTTCCTCAGGAGCAAACTCCTGATGTTTTCCTGGGCACTTGATTACCCAGAATAAGGACTGCCTTTGCCAGCCTCTTCTGCAGCAGGGTGTGGCTCTGTGCCTGGGTCCTAAGATTTTTTTGTTTTTTTGTTTTTTGTTTTTTTGTTTTGAGACGGAGTCTCGCTCTGTCACCCAGGCTGGAGTGCAGTGGTGCCATCTTGCTTCACTCAAGCTCCACCTCCCGGGTTCACACCATTCTCCTGCCTCAGCCTCCCGAGTAGCTGGGACTACAGGCGCCACCACCACGCCTGGCTAATTTTTTTTTTAATTTTTATTAGAGACAGTATTTCACCGTGTTAGCCAGGATGGTCTCGATCTCCTGACCTCATGATCCACCCACCTCAGCCTCCTAAAGTGCTGGGATTACAGGTGCGCACCACCATGCCCAGCTAGGTTCTAAGATTTAGTATATAAAAAGGGGTGGCACCTGTAAACTCCAGGAAGTGAACTTCAGTGGAGGAAGTCGCCTTTCTTTGTCCCTATGTCATGGCTGGAAAACGAAGCATTAGTAACGACAGGAGCTCTAGCAGCCGTTTTAGACCATGAGGTGTTCCTTGGAAATGGAAACTGCACAGTGGAACAGTAAGAGAAGTGAAGCCTGGATCTCCACTGCAGCTACACTACCCCTCAGCCTTGGCTGATGGCTTCTGGACTTTATGAACACAAGAGAAAAATTAATTTGTATTTTGTTTAACGTTTAAACCTAAACTTACATGGAACCCCATGGTAAGAACCTACATTTTATTCTAACCCATCAGGAAACTATTGGAGACTTTTGGGCCAGGAAGTGACAGAAACTGTTTCACTTTTTAGTAGACTCATTCTGCTGCTGTGAGGGAGGAGACTGGGCCCAAAGGAACAAGAATGGACACACGAAAGGTCAGCTGAGGTTACAGCAGGTATCCAGGTGCCTGAAAATGGCAGCTTGGACCAGGTGGTCATGGTGGAGGGAACAGGAAATGATCATCTTTAATATGAACTAGGATGAGTGTGATTAATACAGGTGATGAGAAAAGCCACAAACACATATATTATACATTTGACTTAGAGACATGGATCTGATTTTCCCATATAATATTTTCTTAAAATAGGTCATTTCATAGTTCCCATCTCCTTAGTTCACCTCCCCATGTTTCTAGTAGTTTACTGAACAGCACCACAACTGTTTGTATAGAATCCATCAGAAAGCAAGAATTAGGAAGACTTTTAAAAATTCTCATATTTACAACGAGAATAAATGAGGCAGAAGAAAGTGGTGCAACTTTCTATAATTCATCCCAGCGAATAAGTTTGACACCTGGTATTAAAAGATCTGAAAATATTGAAGCTTCAGTGAAAAACAGATTCCTCCCAAGCAATTGTTAAAGACTTCTTAAGGAAAGAAAAAATCAGCATTGCATTTATATGCGTTATTTTATATAAGTATATCCCTCTGTTTCTCTAATTCCAACATATGCTTTAGCTCATGGTTGGCATCTGAAATAGCATTTGATAATACACATGGAAATATAGAGAAATAGATGTAAGAACTGTAAAATAAGGCTAAAACAATTGAAAGGAGATCAAATCCAGGGGAAATGTTGGACCGGGGTATACAGATTGTGACTCTTTGATGGTTCCTGAGAGGGAAGTAAAGCTTTAACTCAGGATTTCCTAGCAAAAGGAAACACAATTTATTACATGTTTCTCATTGTCCATGAGAAGAAAACATACCAGCCATAAAGAGGCCATGGAGGTGTCCCTGCCACTGAGCTCTGAAAGAAAACTCTCATGAACAGTTTTAGAGCAGAAATAATTACCCTGTAGGCTGAGACTCCTGCAGTTCACTGATAAGCATTATGGAGTCAATTTTCTCTTATTTTTTGTTCTGAAATGTTGTGGTTGTTTGCACTTTTTCCTCTGAATGGGCTCCATAGTTTTAATTATATTTCCAAAAGGGTGAAAAGCTCTGAAACTGTTAAGCATCATTTATACAGAAAATAATGCAGTAGGAAGCATTCTCCAGGCCATAAAAGTTGCAATAAATGTGGCAGCAGGCTTCCTAAAGCTTTCCATTTAGACAGGTTTCTTAGCAAAGTTGAGGGTCTGACAATTTTATTTTTATTCCTTACTCTCTTTACTTTCCTCCCTTGTTGTCTTTATTATCAGCATGTGCTTCCTTCAAACGATGTCATTATCACGATGTTTGTTTTAGTGTAGTTATTAAAAGCATGGGCCCTAGGGCCAGAAAGCCCACCTGTAAATTCTGCCTTCACCACTCCCTCACTGTGTGCTGTGGGATGGGTGGCTTCAGGCTTCTGTGTCTCATTTTTCTCGCCTGTAAAATGGGGCTAGTAATAGATAACGCGACAGCATTGTGGTGAGATTCACATGAAGTAAGAAATGGAAAACATGTGTCCACGTCGGGCACGCCGCACATGCTCGGGAAGTTGAGTCCTTTATCATTCTTGATGTTGCCTTCACAATCGTTGTTATCATCGACTTTTCCTTTTGACATGCCAGAAGGCATCTCCCACATCAGCTTACTTAAAATGTCGGGCATTCTAATATTTTTGTTCAAATATTTATAGCCAACAAATAGAGAAATTTACAATTATCCTCACCTCCACATAACTGATCTTGATTTAGGACTGTGCACATTTAGCGTTCACAGTCAGTGTGTATGTGTCCATCCCAGAATAGGAGACACGACAGTGTACAATGGGGAAAACACAGACGCCTCAACCCATCTGTCCACTCAATGCGTCCCTGCCCAGCAAGAGGCCATGTGAGTCTCAGAGCCCCTCTGTTGATTCCTTTCTTTGAGACTCTTGTCATTCTTGTCTTTAGAGACAGGATTCTGTATGTGTGTGGGGGGGGTGTGTGTGTGTGTAGTTGCTTCACTGTTTTACAGCTTGGTGCTTTAAACTCTAGATCTTCAACTGGGGCTCAGCAGAAACAGCAGCACTCTGTCGTAATGCTGAACAAAAAGCCATCTGTGCTAAATATATTGCAATACAGAACTTTACCATCTTTATGGCAGATTTTGGTTTAAAGAGACTTTTTAGGAATAATCTGATGCTAGGTGCATTCTGCTTCCATGTAGACTTTAGAGATTGAGCCCTTTTTATATGCCGCTTCACTGAACACTCAAACTGAAGTCAGAGATTCCCTGAGGGGAATGGCAATAGCTGAGTTTTAAGTAAGACGCAACTCTGTGTGACTGAGTAGTTTAGCCAGTTCTACCTCTGCCCATCCTCACCCCAGACATACCTTTTTCCCAGAGAGATTAGAACCATAATCACCAAAGTCAGATGAAAATACACCTTCAATCTGCAGCTCCGGCGAGTCATTCCGTTCCACAATCTCTCTGTGAAAAAAAATGTCAGAGTAAAAAATATTCTGAATTGTGTTAATTTCTTTCTCTCAAAATTATAGTTCTAATTCTCCTTGTCAATCTATCTGCACACACGCACATACACACACACGTGTGTGTATGTGTGTATATATCATACATACAATTTCTATTATTCATAGCAGTTATATTCCAATGAATTAACACATACTGAACCATTGCTCCTAGGGAAACTGCAGAGATAGGTTTCTCTTAGTCTTTGTTTACACAACTGATCAATATATAATTTTATGTGTACTTCTGTATAAAGACACCTTATTTAATATAGATTATTGGTTCATTTTCATTGAATTTACAGCTGACAGCACGACATAGCTCATGCCTGAGCAAAGTTTATCTAACACACATATTTTCTCCACAAGGCACACGACAACTTCCTTGTGCTTAGGAACTAACTACATGGCACTTCAACCCTACAGTTGGGGACTGTTTTAAACAGCAAAGTTCCTCTCAAAGTGAACCAAAATAGGAAGAGCATGGAACTGACTAGACCACAGAAGGACCGTTGCTCACAGAGCTGGGCAGGAACGGAGGGCACTGCCTGTTTGACCTCAGGTTGGATGATTCACATTTTTTGCTGCTCCGCCCATGTACAAAAATGACTTCAGATGTTCCACAAGTATTGATATGGGGGTTAAAAATGAGGGCTAGTGAGGAGGCAAATTTGCAAATACAGAATGTCAATAATGAAAATTGACTGTGTGTGTGTGTGTGTGTGTGTGTGTGGGTCGTGTGTGTGTGTGCGGGTGCGCGTGTGTGTGTGTGCAGGTGCATGTGTGTGTGCGCGCGTGTGTGTGTGAGTGTGTGTGTGTGTGTACATGCATATATAGGAGTGACAAGTGGCTGGCCCAATTCAAATTTATATTGATTAGATTGGAGCTACTTGTAGCCTTTACATGGTCCTGTAAGATGCATTCTTATTATAGCTGAGGAAATTTAACTATTTTCTGCCATAAAGCTTGTTGTAGTCATCTGCAATAAGGAAGTGGAATAATGTAATAAGGATTGTCCCTGTCCTTGAAAGAGACAGCTCTTATTAGTTTTGTCTTAGCTTTTGGGGTAGGAGAGCGTGTAGGACAGATTCTGTTGAGGATTTTCATGGAAAACTCAGCTAGGAAAAGGAACAGGTTTGGTTACTGTTTCAAATTAATGAGCCAGGTTCTTTCATTTCTGTCTTTGAGGTACAGGAAGGGATTCAGAGTGGTGTTACTGAGTGGACTCAGGATCTCTGACAAAATTGGAGAAGTTATCATTTATGTTTCAAAATATTTACCCATATTAAAAGTATGAACTGAATGGAAGGACTACTGGTGTAACCCCTTTTGTCACTGGAAAGTTATTGATTAGATATTTCAGTCTTTACAGAAGAATTCCAGAAAGATAGATGCCTTCATTATCTTGTCTGTAGTTGGTCAATTTTTATAAAATGAGAATGTGTTCATCACTTTTCTTCTTCCCTTTTTCTCTTGTTTATAAGGATTTGATAGTCTATGGTTTATCCTTCCTTCTCTTCAGGTAGAAGCTTCTTTTTTAAAAACCTAAGACATGAGACTTCATGGGCCTCCATGGACTCTTTTTCCACATGCCCCATGTAATGGGAGCTGTGTAGGTACAGGAATGTCCTTTCACAGTGGTTCCCAGGGTGCTGCTTTCCTCTCCCAGCTTCAGAAAAAGACACCTGGGACCTCTGAGTTCCTCACTGGTGGTGGCAGCAGGGCTTCGACGTCCCCAGTTCTTATATCCTCACATAATCCTTTGAGTGTAAGAAATAATCTTCTGGTAGCTCCTGCACACGTTCTGAAGGCCACGCTTTCTTGCATCATCCTGTAATACTCGGCGATAAACTGTGTGGCAGAGTCCCCAAAACTACCCCCAGATTCACTTATTCTCCGTAAGAACTCAAGGGATTCAGCACACAGGCTTACCTGCCACTGTGAATTATCACAACAAAAGATGTAAAGCAAAATCAGCAAAGAGAAAAGGCTCACAGAGCAAAGTCTATAGGTCGCCAGCACCAGCTTCCAGGAATCCCCTCCCACTGCAGTCGTCCAGGGGGTGCCAGCTTTTGCATCCTATGGTAACAGCATTGTGAAATGTGGATCAGGGAAGCTCATTAGAAACGCAGCACCCAAGGTCTTTGCTGAATCCTGGTTGCCTGGGTACTTTCTGCCTATCATGTACCTGAATCCAAAACTCTAAGGAAGAAAGCAGGTGTTCAGTATAGACTGTCCTTTGTGTGAAGAGTTTTATCACAATGCACCACTCTTCTTAGTTAGTGAAAGCTGGAAACTCACAAAATCCAACTTTCCATAGAGCAGTCAAAGGACAACCTTATAAGCAGATCTTTCTAAGGACAGCAGTCTCAGGCCTCCTACATCCCTTTCTGCACACGTAACCACCCTCGGCCTAGTCAAAGATTAAGTCCAAAGGGCGATACAGAGAACGTTAATTTCCTTAAGCAAATCAGGATTCACTAAGATGTTTCCACGTGTTTTGGACTTTGGTTCGGCAAATCCCATTGAAGATTCTGCAGAGGAGACCCCCTGCCCTCCTTATTGACCTGTTAACAACAAAAGGCTGAAAACAGAGCACAGGCTGACACACTGTTGCCATGACTACCTGTGCGGCAAACATCTTAATGGCATTTCACTGAGATGCTTCAGGTATTGGGCGTTGGAAAGGGATGGCTGAATAGAACTAAAGACCTCGTGGCACGCAGCTCCCAGTGGTGCGGGAAATATCCAGTTAATGCCCTCAGTGGTAGCCATTCCCTTTTTACCAAGGGTAGTAGAAGATGAAATGGGTTGATGCTACCATGAGTTGGTTTGGATACTCATGGAAAGAATGGTCTCTTCAGGCATTATTCAACTTCCACAGCTCCTGCTCACTCTCAGTCATGGTGCTGTGTCTCTTGGCTTGTGGTATAACAAATCTTCTATTTTTTGTTGTTGTTGTTGAGTTCTTTTTTTTTCTTGAGTTCTTCTTTATAGGTTTTATTCCACAGACATTTCCTTAAACACTGTTAATTAAAACAATGATGAGGCCTCCTTTGGGTACTTAACAGGACTGCCTACTGGGGCACACAAGCACCATGACACGGAACGGCTCTCACTAAGTAAGTCAAGTCCATTGCTAAATTCGATGGTTGCTTCTGACTGGTTAGTTCCCTTGAGGCCTCAGTAACGTTTGACATTAATACTGATGTTCTTTATTAAGCTCTCTATGGCTGTGCTTCTCACACTTTGATCACAGGATCTGTTTACCCTTACATTGTTGAGAACCACCCCACCAAAAAAGCCATTTTGCTTATAAACATTGATATTTATTAGAAATTAAAATGGAGAAAGTTCATGATGTTGTTTCTCCAGTTGGTTGCAATATCACCTTTCCAGTAGCCTCTGGAAACCTCCCTTCTGCATTCATGTGCTCATGAGAACAAAACCAACAAATAACACCTTAGTATCCATATAGAGATATTTTGGCTTGTGTGGACCTCCTACAAGGGTCGTGGGAGCCCCGAGAGTTCCTGGACCTCACTTTGAGAATCACTGTTCTACACAATTCCTTTGACTGTTTTTAACACCATGGGCTTCTGTCTTCCTCCTACCTTCCTGGCTCCTCCTTCTTGTTAGGTTTCCAAGGCAAGGTGAGGGTTACAGACACACATAGAACAAGAGAGCGTCTCAACAGCAAATGCAGGCATTTAGGTCCAACGTAAACCGGCTGAGGTGGAGCACCAGTTTAATGCCAGTGCCCACCACTGCTTACAGGCTGGGATACTTACAGGTATGGGTGGGAGGGGTCTGGGCAGTATGGCTTGCTGCCGGGGAAGATGTTAATAAGATGTACCCGTGATGAAGCAGTTGGGGCCTTGTTCTCGCAGAATGTGATAGTGATGTGCCTTGGACTTTTTCTCAGCAGAATGTGATAAAGTCAGGCTGTTGGGCAGGCAAGTTCTCATGGCCCGAACCCTCGTGGAATGTTTCACTTTGACCAAGGTCTGCATAGTGGCAGGGAGTTTACAAAATGGTGTATTTTGGATTAACAGGTCTCAGTCTTGGGCTCCTTGTTGTCTGACAGATCCTAAATGTTGGCCCCTGCTGTTCCAGGTTCTCTGCTCATTATGCATGTTCTCTGGGTAATTTCATCCACTCCTAAAACTTAAATCATCATCCCTCTGCTGAAGGCTTCTAAATCTCTTTCCCTAGCTCAGAGCCCTTTTCTGAGATGCAGATTCTTGGGTAGTTTGATCTAGTGGGCACTGGTACTTTTGTATTCCACAGGTATTTTTGGCAACTATCTACTTCTTTCTATCTTCAGGGCTATTCTTGCAGGGTCACTCTAGCAGTCCCTAGCAGGGTTTACTGTGCTTGTCCCCGCCTGCTTTTGGTCCATTCTCCATCATTGTAGAGAGATATATTTAATCAAATCTTCTCATTTGTGCTTAGGTCATGTCAGTGCCTTTCCATTACTCTTTGGATAAAGGCTAAGCATTTTAAAATGCTTAATGGCTTTTTGTGATATGACTCTTACCTAAACCTCTCCAGCTTGTGTTTTGCAGTTTGTTCCTTCTATTGAACTTCATCTTTCAGTGACACCGAACTTTCAGGTTCTTCTAATGGCTACATGTTCTCATCCTCTGGGCATTTACCTCTGTTGTTCCAAGAAATGGTCTTCAACATCTTCAGATACCTAGAAGCTTTGCCCCTCAGTGGGAAGAAAGCTTTCAACTCACAGCAGTTCCAGCAGACGTTCTGGGGCTGGAGAGCTGATCCTGAGTTGCCTGTGATCACATGCCACACCTGAAGGCATCACTCTATCCAGGCTCCAGGTGCATAGAACGTTGTGAGGTCATGACTGACGGCATTATGACCAGTCTTGGAACTAGGGTTGGGGTGGGGTTCATCCCAACCAGACCACAGGGACCAAAAATGAGAAAGGATGTTTTTCAGAGAGAAGTGTTGGTGCTGGACAGGAAGAACCACAGATGCCAGATACGGGTAGTGTTGTCACTCTGTTCTCCATAAAACGTAATTTGCTTTTGCTTGATACTAATCTTTTCGCCCTCATAGTCTTGCACATGGAGTTTATCTATCCACCTCCAACAGACACTCATGCGCCTCCCAGTCACTTCTTCTTATCCCTCAAAACCAGTTCCAGAGAAAGGATTGAATTTCTTCCCTCCTAGGCTGACTTTCCATATGCAAAGTTCACATGTATACACTGCAATGCATTACACACAGCATTTGATTTGTAGGTTTGTCTTCTCCACCACATGAGCTGAACAGAAATCATGCCTTGGACGTTTCCACATCCTCAACAAGTAGTTAAGACATGTCACAGAGTAAGTAGTGCTTAATTAGGTTTGAGGAATAAGGGATACAGTTTTTTTGTTTGTTTGTTTGTTTGTTTGTTTTTTGAGATGGTGTTTTGCTCTGGTTTCACAGGCCGGAGTGCAATGGAGCGATCTCGGCTCACTGAAACCTCTGCCTCCTGGGTTCAAGCAATTCTCCTGTTTTTGTCTCCCAGTTTCCTCCAAGGCTCTTGTTCAAACTGTTCTTATTGTGACTTTGGGTTGGAGATTTCTAAGGCTTGTGGTATAACAAATCTTCTATTTTTTTTTTCTTGAGTTCCTCTTTATAGGTTTTATTCCACAGACGTTTCCTGAAACATTGCTAATTAAAACAATGATGAGGCCTGCTTTGGTTACTTAACAGGACTGCCTACTGGGGGACACAAGAGAAGGACATGACAGAGCCTGTGACTTTTACCAGCCATCAGTTCAAAGGGAAACCTGCACACAACCTGCAGCTGGTTAAAGGATCAGGAAGGAAATAGTTCATCTGAGCACAGTCTCTGGAGCCTGAGTTCAAACCCTAACTCACCCCTTGCTAGTTTTGTGCCAGCGGGCAAACTTCTTAACCTAATATGACTTAGTAGATGCAAAGTACTTAACTCATGCTCGATGTATAGTTAACAATTAATAGTTAAGATTAATTTCATTACCTCTTTGTGATTATTTCAAACTCATTGATTTCTTCTTTTTCTAAACTCTGACAATAGTTGAAACTGTATTGAGCACTTCTAGTGTTGCATTATGTATTCTCATTTATGCATCAGTATTTATTGTGAGCATACATCTTCTCTTCCCAACTAAATTATTTGTTCCCAGGGATAAAACTGTGTTTTCTGCTTTGGATATGTATTGGCTATATCATATGTGTAATAGGGGCCTTTACATAATTAGTTCTGATAGAAATGATACGATCATTTTTTGTATCATAAGTTAAACATAATATAATGGTAATATAATACCACGAAAAAGATGGCAGGAGTGACAGTTAAGCTCCTGAGCCGACACTGTTTCAACTCTTGAGAAGCACCCATTAATACATCAAGTGTTATGGCCATTTTGAAGCAGTCTTAATTTCCTTAAGGTAGTTGCATTAGTCTTCTGGCACTGCCATAAAATACCATAGTCTGGGTGGCTTAAATTTTATTTTCTCACAGTTCTGGAGACTGGAAGCCCAAGAGCAAAGTGCCTGCTGATTAGTTCCAGGGCTTTCTTCCCAGCTTGCAGACAACCACCTTCTCACAGTGTCTTCACGTGGCAGAGAGAAACAGCGAGCATTCAGCTCTCTCTCCTTAGAAGGGTCCTTTCAGACCAGGGCTCCATCATTACCACCTACCTTAACCTTAATTAATTCCTTACTCCAAATTCAGCCAGATTGGATGCTAGGGCTTCAACATATGAATTTTGGGGGACACAGTTCAGTCCATCGCAGAGGTCTTTCCACAAGAAAAAACCAATATGATTGTTCTGTCCCTCTGGGTTTTGTGAGCCAGTCCATACAAGAAACTGGCTTCCCCAAGTTATCCTGGATGACCTGTATTTTACCTTTTTTATAAAAAAATTAAATTACTATATTGATGAGGAGTCAATGCCTAGGTCAGGGTTGTAAACTCACCCTGGGTCCTGGTATTCAAATGTGTCATTGGGATTCTGTCTCCATCTCCAGTGCTGCTTTCCCCAATGTTGGCCTTGTTCTCACACAGTTCCCTGAAGGGGTGACAGGAAGGCCAGGCAGGGAACACAAATGAGGCAAGTCTGGGCATGGGGCAGGAGGGAATGGTGGGGACTGAGGCGAACCTTAGGACAGAGGCCCCACGTAAAGTGCTCAGAGGCCACTGAGGGCCATCTGACTAGTGCCAGGAGAAATGTATGTCCCACTTTCCAGATCTTTTTATATTTTCAAAGAAAAGCTAGAGATCTGGATTTTTTATGTTGATTTTCTATGTTGATTTTCTATGCTAATTTCATTTCTTAAAGATTGACAACTAATTCGATGTTAAAAATTGTGTTAAATTAGAAGAAAAATGTCATCAAGCAGGCAATCCATTTTGGATCTCTAACCTAAGCTTTTGGAGGAAATTAATAAAAGTGGCAAGATCACATTGGTGGGGGATTAACTTGCATATACATCCAATTTTGTCATTGCCTATTGAGCTTATTACTGAAGACTCAGTGTCATAAAATATATCTGTTCGTTCATTCGCGGCACTGGGTTCAGACGGTCTGTTAAAAAAAAAAAGAGTCAATTCCAACAGTAACTTTTTTCTCGAGAATAATTGCTTAAATATCTGGTACACTCTGAGGGCACTCTTGGTTTCTCTTTTTTTTCTTTCTTTTTTTTTTTTTTTAACAAGATTACTGAGTTGAATAAGTCAGATTATATTATTATTTTACTATTTTGTTTGGGTTTGGGAATGAATAATAGTTGATGTTTTTCTTCTTAGCATTCCTTTGCCCTTCCTGTCCTAACAGTATCTAAGAATGCTATGGAAAAGCACCACTGGTCCCCTACCTTCCAGCTTTGTACTTCAGGAAAAACTGACTTTTTTTTTAGGGCTCGGGAGGGGGCCTCCTGGCATAGGCTGGGCTACTCAATACATTCTCCCCGCAGGCTACAGTGATAGGGTTAAGGATGACACATGACCCACTAGAGACGATGACATGCAGCATGGCTTCTTCCTTCTTCTACTGTGACTTGTGGAAAAGGAACCCTAACCAGTTCTTGATGGACTGAACAATGTTTGGGAGATGGTGTTCTTGTCACCATGTGGAGCTTAAGCAAAAAGCCACACCATGGAAAGCGAAACTGAGAGATGAATGAAAAAGCATGTTGGTGCCACTGTTGGCACCTGAATCCATCTGAGTCCGAAGCCAGTCTACTCCTCGTGACTGTGTGTTTTATAGATTTCTTTAAAAAGAATCCTTACTGATATACATAATGGCCAAAGGAGAGGAAGATCAGTCTCAATTAGTGAGAAGTCCAAAGCAAATGGATGTAGAGGACTACGTGCTCACAAACAGGGTGTTCCCGATAAGTCCTGCTCTTGCAAACGAAGCAGGGCATTCCCAATAAGTCCTGCTCTTGCAAACGAAGCAGGGCGTTGGGGGCTTGTTTACGTGTAAACATCTTGAAAATCCAGAAAGTCAGGGAAAGGTCAGAAAAACAACAATGTGTCTTGTGACTTGGCAACATTCCACAAATGACTGTATAAAATAAAGCAGAGCGCGCCATTCGAGGCGGCCGCCATGTTTGTCTTGTCTTGTGTTGTCTTGTGTGTTCATTCCTTTGTTTAGGAAACACGCGGACCCCAACAAATGGACTCGTGCATGGTCTCATCAAAATGAAGTCAAAGGTTAAAGGCACATTTAAATTGTCTCATGGTGTGTTTTTGGTGGGTGGATAGACTACAAAATCCCATTTAATACAGAGAAAACAAATCGAACCTCAGAGGACTTATGTGGTTTCTCTCAGTACCTACAGTGGGCTCATGCAGTCCTGGGACTCCAGCTCAGGTGTCTCAGTTTCTCAGGACACCAGCTGCCCCCTATTCAGGTAGTGACAGAGCTACTAGGATTGCTCAGTGAACATCCGTATACCAGCTCCTAGATTCAAGTTAATATTTTACAGTGTTTGCTCATCACATATCTATCCATGTGGTCCCCTGTCCACTCTTTAATACATCTTATTTCACTTTTTAATTGGAGGCCATCTTTCTTGATGCACTAATTTTTATTCATTTGGCAAGGATGTAATACCTCCCACTAGGCACTTGGGATGCAACAGTGAGCTAAATACCAAAATGTTTCCTATCAGGAAGCTGGACATTTTTGGGGGGTTGATGGTTGATGGAAGAGTAAAAAAAACATACACACAGGATACTTTTAGGTAGCAATAAATGCTTTTAAGGAAACAAAATAGGATGAAATGACTGAATCTCTAAGACACATTCCAGCTAGGAAAACAAAAAATCTTCTAGGTATTTTAACAGAGGGATTTAGTATAGGGATTATTTACCTAGGTGTAGAAAAGCTTTAAAAAGGCTTAATATTTCTTGAGAAAATAAAGCAGAGGTTAAGAGTTGCAAGAAACTGTTACCACTTCTATGGTTGGAGGAACAGAGGGAAGGGATGATACTGCTAGTGCCCAAGTACGGGGACTGTTTGGTGGAAGTTAGAACCACAGCCGTAGTTGTCCTGGATGATGTTGCTGGGGGATCTGAGAAGATGGTAAGGGGAGCTCTCAAGGAGCTGGAACCACAGAGGAGACAAAGTCATTAGCAGAAAATGCTGCAAGAAGCAGGAAGAAAAACATACTCAAGTTCTTCCTTCTTCTTCTCCTCCAGCCTTGCACCAGTGCCTCCAAATTGGCTGAACCTGCTGAGAGTCGGCAGGAGAGAGCCTGGGAAATGCATTTCTGAGGCATACACAACAGAAGAAGGTGTTTGGGGGCCCAGGACAAACCGGTAGTTGACAGGCACGTAGAGGCTTTTCAGAAACAAGTCTTGTCGGAAATGTGACTTTTTCTGGGGAAAATTTGATTAGAAGCGAGAACAAGAAGAACTGTTTACTGGGAATTCCCTCTATGGGAAAGTCATGGGGGTATCGACTGTAGATTGGCAGACGACAGAGGGCCTCTTTGAGGGGGTGACAGATAGCTGAGGATGCCTGACCAGGGGCTGACATCTCTGCACACATCCTGGTAGAGAGGTTTCCAGGCTGAGCAAGGAGCCAGTGAGAGCCATGAAGACAGCACGAAGGAAGATGTGTCAATAAATCAGAAACCGATATTTCAGACAAGCCTGGTTAGAAGAGTATGAGGAACCTTTGGCCCTTTCCTTCACCGTAAGCAGTGACATGAACACCACCACCCCAGATGAATATCAGTTTACTTACCAAGGCTCCTTCAAGCTCTTGGCAGGCAAGACCATGGTCCCAGGAGGGTATGTAACTGTGTATTGTCAGCGACGCTGCATGGCTACATTTCGGTATTTAATGAGGCATTGATCTTGCTGGAGATTTTTGAAAGTCTGGTCAGGTGGCCCATTGGAAGGAGACCTGAGCTTGGTTCTCTGTGCCTGAGTCGTCAGCTGTCTATGCTACAGGAACAGCCTCAGCTGTGGAAATGCCACGACTTCTTTCCCCGTTGGCCATGCAGCGGGTAATTAGCTTTATAGAGATGTGGGGAGGATATGGCAGGCTTTCAAGTCTGCAGGTTGTATCAGGGGCCTTGTCACACTGCCAGAGTGTTTGCATTCAGGGCTTCCTCAATCCTGACAGAGGCACCTTTCCAGAGATGATGTATGTGTTCCAAGCACAGCTACAAATGAGGCAGTTAAGTCCGTGGAAGCGCTGTGGGCCACAGTCTCCTGCCAGGGTTCCCAAGACCCTGGGAGTGGCTTCCTTCCAATGGGCCATTAGCTTTCCCCCGAAGCTCTTTGAGGCTTCTCTGGAGCCAGCTTCTCTTGGCACTGCTGGGCTGGAGGAAGCTTCTCCCATGGCGCTCGTCTGGCAAGCCTCACAAATTCACTCTGTCTTTCTCTGAACCTCTATGCTTGATTATCTCTGTAGCTCATAACCAGGCCAGTAATGAGAGGCCCTGTAGAGCTGGGCCTCATTAAGACTTTCTTCTTCTCTCTTCCCAGGATATACTTTATTCAGCTGGGTGCTGAAAAACAATCTTGGATATTAGGAAACTGAATGAGGCCTCATTTCACACTCAGAATGTGGGTTGCAATAGTCACTTCCTCTGCTTCTGGGAGAGAAAGAATTATACTACCTTTTGAATTTTGGATTAAAAAGAGAGGTGTTGGCTTGTCAAACTACCGTGTATTCCTCAAGACATATTTTTGTAGCTTTATAAAAATTCAATATATATTTCTAAATTTAAATATATTTTGTTGCAACCTGGCCCTTGGACAAAATGAGGCATTGGCAGCTGATGTTTATGGCTTTCCATAGAACCTTCCAGATAAAATTTACACAGCATTTTACTGCAGCTATTTCACATAAAGCAGAGGATTTTGCCACAGAACTGAAAGAAAAAAAGAAACTGCATTCTTAAATTTTTTATAAATCAAAAGGTATCAAAATATCTACCTAAAAGATAAAGGAGATGAGAAACCCATCCGTGATGGAAAGAAAGCCTATTTCAGCTTTGCCTTTTCTTTAAGTTCTTTGTTCCATATCTGGAATGCAATCGGAATTTTAATCTTTCCTGGGGTTCCTCCTGGATGTGGGGAGAAGATAAAATCTGAAAATCTGAAATCTGCCTGTGTTGGGCTGCATGTCTTCGGACGCCAGCGGAAGGATCACACTGCACAGAGTGCTGTGCTCGCAGAAGCCCAGCTTCTCAACCTCCATCGCTTTATGAATTGATTCACCGGAAAGGTAACTGGCCATTTCTACAAGGGGAAATTAACCAACTAAACGTGGCATTGGATTGTTCCCAGATTCTTTATTAATGATGCTTCTGCATCGCTTTACCTTGTCAAATACAAGTTACGGCCGATATTCTTCTGAGAATGATCTCCTAAGACATGGCTTCCTCTTTTCATCTTTATCTGGACCCTGCCCCATCTATAGGGTCGCATTTCTGATTAGAAATGTTGCTGAAGATCCCCTTAAAATAACAAATATGTGTGACATAATTATATATGCTTTATATATTTTACATATACACATGTACACTTGTGTAAGAAACTTATTAGTTTTGGTTAAATAGCATTTTATAAATGCTGTTTCATATGACACATTGCAAATGCTTCCCATGATACTGTATTATCTTCAAGTCACGGTTCTGATGGTGATTTGATATCCTATTTATAGCATGTCTGAACCATATTTATTTAATCCCTTTAATGATGGAGATTCAGGTTGCTTTCTAAGGTTTCTTGCTGTCATAAATAATGGTTACCACGAACATCTTGGCACATATATCTCTTTCCAAAATGATTATTTCCATAGAAGAAGTTCTTAGATGATGAATTATAAATACACACTTTTTTTTTTTTTTTTTTTTTGAGACGGAGTCTCCCTCTGTCGCCCGGGCTGGAGTGCAGTGGCCGGATCTCAGCTCACTGCAAGCTCCGCCTCCCGGGTTCACGCCATTCTCCTGCCTCAGCCTCCCGAGTAGCTGGGACTACAGGCGCCCACAACCTCGCCCGGCTAGTTTTTTGTATTTTTTAGTAGAGACGGGGTTTCACCGGGTTAGCCAGGATGGTCTCGATCTCCTGACCTCGTGATCCGCCCGTCTCGGCCTCCCAAAGTGCTGGGATTACAGGCGTGAGCCACTGCGCCCCGCGAAATACACACTTTAAAAAGCGTATCCTGATTTATTTATGCCGTCCCTTATTAATTAGCATTTAATGCTGATTATTAATAAGGACAATCCCAAGGGGATATTTATTATTTAAACATGCCAGTAACTCTTCTAAGTGTTTTAGCCTAGGAACTTGTATGATGCTCACAATCACCTAGTGAGGTCGAATCTATTATCATCCCATGTCCTACGTAAGGACCTGTGAATTGTAGGAAGAGGAAGCAGCTTGCCCAGGATTGTTCCGCTTGTAAATATCAGATTCCAATTCACGGACATGGCTGCAGCATATTTGCTGTTTATTTGGTTTGATGTTACAAGTGATACTGTAGTTAATATGCTTGAGTTTCAATCTTTAGTCCCCCTCAGTAGCATCTATGAGGCATGACTTTTAATTTTTTTTTTTTTTTTTTTTTTGAGACGGAGTCTCCCTCTGTCGCCCGGGCTGGAGTGCAGTGGCCGGATCTCAGCTCACTGCAAGCTCCGCCTCCCGGGTTCACGCCATTCTCCTGCCTCAGCCTCCCGAGTAGCTGGGACTACAGGCGCCCGCCACCGCGCTCGGCTCATTTTTTGTATTTTTAGTAGAGACGGGGTTTCACCGTGTTAGCCAGGATGGTCTCGATCTCCTGACCTTGTGATCCGCCCGCCTCGGCCTCCCAAAGTGCTGGGATTACAGGCGTGAGCCACCGCGCCCGGCCGACTTTTAATTTTTATAGAAAGGAAGATTATAGAAGTGTAAATGTTCTCCCACAACATTATTCTCATTTTAATGGAAATGATGGAGATATCTGAATGTTTCCTTAACAGGCTTCCCAAGTAGATGCAACATAAAGGGACGATGGAAATAAGCAAAAGTTCTCAAGTATCAGCATGCCACGTTCCACAGGCGGGATGTCAAAAATAGTTTTGGCTGATGGGCAACTTACTGTGCATAAGGTTTACAACCAATTGATATTGATTCCTGTTTTTCTTTCCTTTAAGAAAAGGAGGAATCAACACTTTCAGAGATGGAGACTGTTGAGTCACAATATCAACTAGTCAATGCTGAATCCGACTTCTCCCTTTCTACATTGCCTGATAGAAGTCATTGGGGAATACTCTGTATGTGAATTTTCACTGTTGGGGAAAGCAATTTTTGGAAGTGGTGGGTAGACCTCAGTTTGTATGCATTGCGTTAATTACTATTTCTTTGCTTTTCCTTTTTTGTGAAGTTGCAGGGAGTCAAGGGATTGGATTGTGGACTGCATTGGTGGCTTTCCTCAGTTTCCTCATCTTCTCCACAAGTTTCTACATATCGAATGCAGAGCAGCCCTTCTTCAAAGGACCTCCTACGGAACCTGCTAAGGAACTCAGTCTGTAGCTCTGTGTGGAGCCATGTGTAAACACTGAAACCAGACCTACTACCTCCTACTACCTAATGGCCCCTTCTCATCTGAGAAGATCATTCCCTAGAAACAAACTCATGCTGACTTCCATGTTTATTTATTTATTTTTTGGATTAGATATATGGAGAATTTTCCTTTCCCTTAGAATTAAAATCCTGCTTTCTAGTTTTTAGCATGCTTTTTTATTTTGGAATAATTTTAAATTTAAAGAGAAGTTGCAAAGATAGTATAGAATGTTTTCTTATACCTCTCATCTATTTCCCCCTTTTATTACCATTTTACATGACCATGGTATACTTTTTAAAACTAATATACCAACACTGAGGCATTACTATCAACTACACTCCAGATTGTACTTGGATGTTGCCAGTTTTTCTATGAATGTTTTCCTTCTGTTCCTTGATTCCCCTTTTTTGTTCTATTAAATAGTTAATAGAATACACAGTTAGCTATTAAATTAATAGAAACCATAAATAGTTGACTAATTAATAGAAACCAGGACACCCAATTGCTTAAGTATCATATTTGCTTAATCTCTTCTGGACTGTTGCAATTTCTCAGTCTCTCCTTGTTTCAAATGATCTTGATGGTTTTGAGAAATAGTGGTCAGATTTTGCAGAATGTTTCTTCTTTGGTGTTTGTCTAATGTTTTCCTCATCATTAGACTAGTCTTAGGGTTATTTTTGTAAGAAAGCTACAGATAATATGCAGGAAAATGATTATGGACATTTTACTATAAAACTCTACTTATAGGCACTGAGATGTAAACTTCCTGTACTTGTCACACCACACAATATTCTGTTCATTTTTATTATCATTAAAACATGTAAAAAAAAATAAACTCTCTTAATTCACCAAACAAAAGTAAGAGGTTCTGATTTGGCCCGTGCAACATTTCGCTGACCATTGGTATAGAGTAATACCATCTTACTTTTTACCGTAAAAATAATTGAATAGACATGAAGAAATTAATAAGGCTCAGGTATGCAGATGCTATTTATGGGGGTGAGGAAGCAGCTTGTTGTATACTAAGTGGCTAAACCATTATTGTGTTATTGTCTTGCCTATTAATTTTAAGGAGTATATGTCACAGTCTATAATGGGCTTTGAGCGTTCTAATGCATGCATGTGCGTGTCTGTATGTGCATGTGTGTTTGTGTGTGTGCCTGTGTGTGTGCGTATTTTCACAGGAAACTGAGCGGAAACTCCATGGCAGACATGGTCCCTACTGGCTGGTCCACAGGGAATGTGCAGCCACTGTTGATAGAAATACCTGCCAGGTACAGCGGTTCGTATGGCCTCTGGGTACAGGTGATGACTGATGAATGCCATCTGGTGTCAATGCCGGGTCTGCTGAATCTGACCAGCTCTTCTTGGTGTGACCCTGATGCCTATGTGATGTGTCCTGGGGCTGCCTGTGTGTATCCAAGGCTTTCCAACCTTTCCTGTCCTTCTCAAACCCAGTCAATTTCCTTCCTATACTTTTTTTTGTTTCTCATAGGACAGCCAGAATGGCTTTCTGTTGCTTGAGAGAATCAATGAAAAGTAACAGTGTTCTCCCTTGAATGTTGGACTTACATGCATATAATTGTGTAATTCTGTTTATTTTCATTGTATCGTTTTATCAATAGCTTCATTCTCCTAAAATACTGAAGAAAAATGTGATGTAATTCATGTTTGCTTCTAAGGCAAATGTTCATTTTCAGTAACCTAAGTTTAACTTCTCTCTAACTTGTGGTTGAGATCACCTGTTTGTATCTGTTTTTATTTAGAGCGATGTTCCCAGGAGGCGTGATAATGCAGCAATGAACAAGGACAGGAACAAGAGACAGTTTTACCATCTTCCTACAATTTGTAGATGGGACAGTGGAAAGAGAAGCCACATTGGGGTTGGGCATGCAGAGATCTGGCCCTAAATCCATGTGAATTTTGCCAAGTCCTTTTGCCTCACAGAGCTCTAGGTTCTTATCTGACAAACAGGAACCAGACCATCAGATCCATAGAGATTTAACCAATGGAGCCTTTGAAAACTTCACACGGCCTGTGTCAATGTGAGGTTGCTGGATGGTTATGACAAGAAATCACATTAAATTCACTGTGGTAACATTGTTCATGAAACGGGATAATGTGTTTCAGCGATGAACCACCCACGGTCTTACGACAGACATATTTCCACTTTGAAAAGGTGTGTGCGTGTATGTGTCTGTGTGTGAGACAGCGATTGGAAAGTATAAATGTGTGCGTTTCCATTTTACACATCTTACATTTTCCTTTAAATTGTGTGAAAGCCTGTTTTGTTTGTGACTTCCATTCTTGGAGGTCCCATGAGTTGTTAGTGGTGAAGATGGAACAGATGGAGACTCCTGCCCTCAGGGACTGACCGCTGCAAACATCCCTCTCTCATCTGATTCCACTGTTTCTTCCACATGTACACATCATGAGAAATACTGTTCAATCAATATATTTCTTTAAATCAACTCATATGCTTATTTACATGAATTTACCTAAAACAGAAACTTGATATCACTTCTGTAAATGAAAAAATTAAACTTTCTGGCTATAAATAAAGTGTAACAATAATAATCATGCCAAAAAATACCCCTCCAGTGTTATGAAGTTCAAGTTAGGGGTATAGATTCCTGAAGGCCCTGGTCTTAAGTCATAGTTGTTCCTGTTTAAAGGGGAGACAGACAAGTGTTCAGAAGAGTCCCCTCAATTGAGACTTCCTTCCAAAATTCATCAGAAAGTTTAAAAGAGAGTTTTTCCTCATTTTGTTAATTACTTTCACATATTTTAACATATATTAACATTTTATATGGTAATATGTTTTTGACATTCCCCTCTAAAACGTTCTCAGGGGCTGGCAGTGGTTATTTTCTTATATTATGGGAGCCCTGCTCTTTACTGAATTTTGTCATTCTGTCATAGGGTAAAACTTGTTGGTTGCTACAGAGCTCTCTCCTTTCCAAGTGCACACCCACAGATTGGTTTGCTTATGGAATCCTCGCATATTGGAAATGAAGGAACCTCAGAAATTGTTTTCATCAAACACCTCATATGCAGAAGGCAAAATGAAGGTTCAGAGCAGAAATGATTTGTCTAAGGATGCAACACTCATCTGCAGCAGAGGGCAGCTGAGCTCTGCGGACCCACCTAGCACTGCCGAAGCCACCCTCCAGGGCAAGGCTTCATAAAAAAGTGACTTTATCAGTTGGTGGCTTCATTTAAAAAAGATACAGATTGAGAAATTGTTTAAACAGTGATCTCTACTCTATATAATTACTCTTTTCTTTTAATTTAAAAGTATGGGCCGGGAGCGGTGGCTCACGCCTGTAATCTCAGCACTTTGGGAGGTCAAGGTGAGCAGATCACCTGAGGTCAGGAGTTCGAGACCAACCTGACCAACATGGAGAAACCCCCTCTCTACTAAAAATACAAAATTAGCTGGGTGTGGTGGTGCACGCCTGCAATCCCAGCTAGTAGGGAGGCTGAGGCAGGAGAATCGCTTGAACTCAGGAAGCAGAGGTTGCAGTGAGCCGAGATCACGCCATTGCACTCCAGCCTGGGCAACAAGAGCGAAACTCCGTCTCAAAATAAATAAATAAATAAATAAATGAATAAATAAATAAGTATTCCTTCCCCAATCTTTTGATGTGTGGAGCCAAGGTTTTTATTTGCAGAAGTCTGAGAGGCTGGTGTGATCTTTTTGACTCATAAACCATAACCTTCCTAACGGGCCATCTGCAATATCCAGTTGTGTTTCCTCGAATGTGGGGAAATGACTTAAAGACACTTCAGAATAAATCGGAGGAAGGGACCTTTCCAGAGCTTAGATAATTCTCCGTTGTGTTTTAGAGTTCTGTTGCCCATACCTAATTTGTCAGAAATGGTTTTAGTCACGTAGTTCTGTAGAATCTTTCCACAGCATGAATGCTCCTTTTCATAGAAGCGGCTCAATCTGCTCGCGGATTTATATGATATAAATGAAATGAGGACAGTGTAATAATGACATAACAGAGGCTGGTACTACGCTTGCAGCACCCCTGACAAGAGCAGAAATGCCCAGGCAGCTGGAGAGAGAACCAGCACCTGGAGCGAGCGCCCCCTGCTGGCCACGGCGGGGAATGGAGGGTATGGGATCACCTGGCAAGCAGGTTAAGTGGAGGTTGTTTCAAAAGCTTCTTCTCTAATCTTTTGGGATACTACAGCTGATTTACATGAAACTCAATCTGATGCTTTAGTAGACCAATGAGATCAAAATTAACAAATAGATCCTAGAAATTATACCATTTTTAATATTTGTGAAGTACCTGCTCAGCCAGGTGTTGATGGAGGACAGAGGATTAAGAGGAAGCCTTGAGTTACAGGCACCCAAGTAGCCGCTGTGTGGATGCAGGTCTGGATGATACGGCCCCAGGGCTTGTTCTTCCAGCATTTCTATTATTCTCTCTCTCTGTCTTATAGGCAAATTAGATTATGTTTCCGGGTTAATACATGGAGGGATTAACTGGGATAAAGAAACATGGTTTTAGGGGTTAAATCTCCAAAATGTCTATGGTTCAAATGTGGGATCTCACATGATGGTCTTGGACAAAGAAAATGTCGTTGATTCTCAAGATTTAAACACAGGAGAGCCTCTCGCTCCTCCCAAAGCTAGGGAGGGAGGGGATGGAGATGGCCCGGAGACATTCGAATTGGAACTCAAGATCAGTATTGGAGACCCCACCGTGTGACACAGACATCATGAACAAGTTCCTTGAATGTTGGAGCTTTATTTTCCTATTTGATAAAATGAGAATTATAGCTTCTGTGTAGGGTACGGGGGTGATCTGTGAGGATCACAGGAGATCATGCATATCGAAATGCTTTGAAAAGCATCAAGTACTGAAAAATGTCCAGCTTAGCTATGAGTAATAGTGACTGTGCTGGGAGTCTGGGCTTTCTTCTATCCAGCTAGAAACACTTTTATTGTGTTATTTTTAGTGTTACACCTGCACATGCTTGTTTGAGCAGGTATTAACGGTATAAAGATGCCAGGCTCAGGCCCGCAGTGGGCCAGTTGACGTAAATTGTTCTGTAATAGCCTAACTTGACAACAGCTAAATGCCATAAAATGAATTGAGGGTGGGGTGTGGGGGTGAAGACACTGCCTAACTCCTCCCCACTGTTGGGGAATGACATCCAGCCTGTCACCCGCTGATGGCAGGTTATGTAGGAGAAGCAAATCCATTAAAATAGAAGCACAGCTGCATGCCCGTGATTACTTCTCTAATGTTATTGTCTAGCTCTGCGCTTGATCCTCCTCTGATAATACTCAAGAAATAGAACAGCAAAGTTTGCTTGTTTTAAATCTGGTAATTAATGTCTGTTTTGCTTACATTAATGGTTTCTCGCGGGAAGGATGCATGCATTATTAAATGTTGCTTAAGGAAAAAAAGTCTTGTGTTGGTTAACAATTTTTGACTACAAATAATAGAAAAACGATACGAAGGCTGGCTTCAGTAGAAAAGTAATTTAATACTTCCCATAAATAATAAGCCGGGGGTAGCATGGCCAATTTATCCAGTAGTCTCAACAGCCACCATGCCTGAGGCCCGTTGTACTATTAAAAGGTTCATGAAAATATTTTTATTTTAATTTATTTTAAAATTAGAAGAAAAATCACTATAATAATCTTTTAATAGGGTGGGAATCCACAGAGCAAAAGCTTCTGAAGCACCCAAAGTCATAACATAGCCCTGAGGGGTAGGCCTGCCTTCAGCCTTCATTTGCTATTAAGAACACACCAAACTCCTTTGACTTCCCCCTGCTCTCCCTTCTTTTTTATGTCATGCTGTTGACACTTAAAAATAGGCTTTTCCTTCGCCTCCTACCATCATGTACTCTGTTCACCCCATCTAGCTCCCTGCTCTCTTATTTCCCCGTGCTCCAAGGCTGTGTCTGAGACAGGATCTCTGCCCTGGGTCTTCTCTGTCTGAAGTACGTTTCTTTCAGGAAACTTTCTAATTTCTCTTGCTCCAGGGGTTTTCTCGGCTTCTCAGAGAAACTTTCTTTTATATGTAAAAAGGATAATGAGGCCAGGCGCGGTGCCTCACACCTGTAATCCCAGCACTTTGGGAGGCCGAGATGGGTAGGTCACTTGAGGTCAGGAGGTCAGAAGTTCAAGACCAGCCTGACCAACACAGTGAAACCCTGTCTATACCAAAAATATATGTATAAAAAACTAGCCAGGCGTGGTGGCAGGCGCCTGTAGTCCCAGCTACTCAGAAGGCTGAGGCAGGAGAATTGCTTAAACCCAGGAAGCGGAGGTTGCAGTGAGCCGAGATCGTGCCACTGTACTCCAGCCTGGCGACAGAGCGAGACTCGGTCTAAAAAAAAAAAAAAAAGAGAGAGAAAGAAAGAAAAGATAATGAATAAATGAATCAGTGAAAGATAGATGCACCAGCCCAGACTTCAAAACACAAGGTCAGGAAACCAAGACCATCCTGGCTAATACAGTGAAATTCCATCTCTACCAAAAAATACAAAAAAAATTAGCCAGGTGTAGTGGTGGGCGCCTGTAGTCCCAGCTACTTGGGAGGCTGAGACAGGAGAATGGCATGAACCTGGGAGGCAGAGGTTGCAGTGAGCCGAGATCACGCCATTGCACTCCAGCCTGCCTGGGCAACAAAGCAAGACTCTTTCTCAAAAAAAAAAAAAAAAAAAAAGGGCTATTGGCAAACTGTCCAGCATTGTGCCATAGGAACAAAAGAGTGGATTTAAAAATAGAAACAGAGGTAGGCGTTTTTAAAAAGGTATGTACTGAATTAAGAAAGAAGCAGAATGAGTATATTATTTACCCCAAATAGCAATATATATTGTGACAGAACACGTAGACATCTCCATGACCGTAACAAAATACATGTTAATTTTACGTAAGTGGCTGGTGATAAAGAAATGAAAATGGTAGTAAAATGTGGGGTTTATTGTTTGTTTGTTTAGACAGAGTTTCACTCTTGTCGCCCAGGCTGGAGCGCAGTGGCAAGATCTCGGCTCACTGCAACCTCCGCCTCCCAGGTTCAAGTGATTCTCATCCCTTAGCCTCCTGAGTAGCTGGGATTACAGGTGCCTACCACCACGCTCGGTTCATTTTTGTATTTTTAGTAGAGATGGGGTTTCACCATGTTGGTCAGGCTGATCTTGAACTCCTGACCTCAGGTGATCCACCTGCCTTGGCCTCCCAAAGTGCTGGGATTACCACACTGTGCAGGAGTGAGCCACTGCACCCAGCCTGGATGTGGGTTTAATAAGGAATAACTGCTAGGCGAGCCAGTTGAAATCACTAATATTTGATTACTTTTTTATCTTACAAAAGTGGTAATTGTACATAGTTCAACATAATGAGTGAACAAAAAAGGATTCTTTCACAGATCAATAATAATAACAACATGCCCTGAAAGATAAATGAAGTGAGGTTGATCCTTCACATCTGCGTTGAATAAAACAAAACTAAACTCTGGATTCTTCTGTAAAAAATATATTTCCCAGACTTGGTTTCATCTTGCAATTCTATCCCACTGAATACATGGACTTGGTTTCATTTTGCAATTTTCCTCCACTGCTTCTAAATGTTGTTGTAGAATGATCCACGTAACAGAAGGTCCTGCCTGCTGTCAGAGAGAAAGCCACTCCTGTCTGGAAAATGCCATCTGAAAAAAATGACTAAGTGATTTTCTCTTGGTGACTTCAGACCCACCAAGTTAAATACAGAAAGGTAGAGACGGTTATAAGAGTAATGCTCTCTTCCGGCAACGGATGGATTGCAGCGGCATTTATTCATTTTGCATTTTAAGAGAAAGGCAGTTTTCTTCTGCTTTTATTAGTGTGCTTACAGATGTGGAAGGGAACCAGAGGATGACAAATGAAGCACGAAGCTTTCTGTTGCTCCATGGGTCTGCCTCTCCTCAGTGTCTCCTCACCACCCTCCGGGCAGTCACCGGGACTTCTCATTTCACAGAGATCTTGAAACAGGGGAAAAGTGCCTGGATAGGTCATGTGGGGTCTGTGTCCTGTCTGTTAAGGAACAGTGATTAGGAAGCAGGAAGACATAGAGGAAACGATGCAGGGACAGAGTAGGAGCCCTTGGTCTGAATCCTTATATGTAAGTAGCTTCATGCATGTGATTTTGGCAACTTTCTTCCCGATTAGACCTTAGTTTTATTGTTTAAAAATTAGTAGGTTGGAGTGAATGAAACCCCAAATCTATACTATGCTAAAGCTTTATGTGTTTATTTGACGAGTTAAGGAGGGTTTGTTTGTTTTGTTTTGTTTTGTTTTGTTTTAGTTTTAGTTTTTGAAGAGCCTGGGTCTCGCTCTGTCTCCCAGGCAGGACTGCAGTGGTCTGATCATAGCTCACTGAAGCCTCAAACTCCTGGATTCAAGCGATCCTCACATCTCAGCCTCCCAAGAAAATGGGATTACAGGTGCATACCACCATACCCAGTCAATTTTTTTTTTTTTTTCCTGTGGAGATGGGGTCACATTATGTTGCCCAGGACGATCTTGAACTCCTAGCCTCAAGTGATTCTTCCTGCCTCAGCCTCCCAAAATGATGCTTGTATTACAGGCATGAGCCACGCATCCAGATCTTTTCTATGTCTGTAAGTATAATGAATGCAAAGAAGATCATTGAAGAGAAGCGACTGATGGATCATAGCTTGACAAGCTTCTAACCACTCCCTAGATCCAATTGCCTTTACATGGGCCCAAGGTCCCGTCTCTCAATTGCTGGAGCCAGTGGCAGCTTCCCAGATTCTGTTTCTTCATCTGTGAAATGGGATTTTCAACCATATTTATCTCATGTGTTTTCACATGGTACAGTGTCTGGTATTCTACAAACTGCCGAAACAACAGCTATTTTCACGTTGAAAATAGTTTCCCTCCAGTTAACATAGTTTAAAATCACATTCCTTTCGCCATCCTCTACAAACATTCTATTTTCTATTTTCATTTTGCCTTTAGTAAGTTATCTCTTTATATTTGTTACACATTTTTTTTTCCTGTTTGGTTGTTTAGTTTTTCCTATGATTTAGCATATGTTAAGCTTTGTTTTCCTAGTGCATGTGTAGAAGACGAAAATGGACTGCAAGTGATGTGTAAAGATTATCATCAAGAAGTCCAGTATAATTTTCTATCCTTGTAATGTAAGCTGTCCTCGAGGTGTGCTTTGGCCAATGGAACACGGCAGAAGAGTCACTGGACCACTTCTGGGCCTGGGCTTCAAGAACCCTTGCCACTTCAGTTTGTTCCTTCTTAGAATGTGTAAACCCTCAGGAGGGGGGTGGGAAGGGGTGGGGGAAACCCTATATTTACTCTCTAGAGGTTGAGAAGCCACATGGAGAGAGAGACCTGGCCAGCATCAACTTCCCAACTGGGCTACCGGATGACTACAGCCATGTGAGTGACCCAGGCTAATCCAGGTAGAAGGACCAGTATGCTAAGCACAGCTCAAAGTGTAACTCCAGATTC